TGACCTACCTGACCAGGAGGTGGAGCGGCGGCGGTTGAGGCTGAGTCCGTGCAGGCAGCGCTCCAGGGCGTGCTGGATGCGGTCCTCTGTGCACGTCGTAGCCGCTGGCTGCATCCTGAGTCATCGCCTGCGTGGAAACAGACACTGTCAGCCCCGGACCCCCAGGTGTGAGGAGCGCACAGCCAGCAGGGCAGATGGCACAGACAACGGCACTCCCAACCCAGTGCTGCCAGCCTTGCTATGGCCTGGGAGCTGTGGGCACAGCAGGCGGGGGCTCAGCTGCCTCCAGGGCTGGAATGGCTCCCGGGGGGCGCTGCTCTGAGTGGCAGGAAGGAGTGCTCCTGCAGCCAAGGGTGCGATGCTACAGGAAGCGAGGGGTCAGGGACAGGAGTGGAGAGGTGTCTGCCCCAAGGCGGTCGGGTTTCCAAGCGCCTGGGGAATGCCCAGGGAGTGGCCAGACCCCAGTGGGCTGGGCAGCAGGACCTCCAGGAACAAGCAGAATGGCCTGGGGATTTTTCTGAATTTCCGGGCCTGCATCCCCCAGCCCCAGGGAAGAGCACGGAGATCCCTCTCAGGGCACCGGGTCCTCCAACGCCGAGGCCTGGTGGGGGCTGCCCCACGTGCCCCCACCACACTCCCCGCTAGGGTGCCCGGGCCCAGGCACCGTTCCTCATCTGCCCTCGCCTCTACTCTGGCCATGTTTCTTTGCTCTCTCTGAAGCATTGCAGTGCTGCCGGCTACCCACAGACTCCGCTTGCCCCCCTTCCCTTGTCCAGCTCAGGCTGGAGGGCAACGAGGAAGGGATCTAAGAGGGGGTCTCAGCACCCGCTGGGGAACTGTGGGAAGGGCCACATTCTAAGAGCCTCCAGAAGGGCCAGCCCACCCCTCAGTGATGTGTGAGGCCCCCAGGTCCCTTGGGAGCCACAGCAGGTAGGCGAGCAGGTGAATAAGCCTGGCCCCTGGGTCGACAGACGTGGACTCAGATCTGGACTCTGCTATTGGTTAGCCATGCAATTCTGGACACACTTTTCCCCTTTTCCAAACCTCAGTTTAATTATCTGTAAAATGGGATAATGAGAGCACTGACCCCACAGGGCTGTTGGGAAGATTAAACGTCACAGTGGTGTGTGCGCTGGGTAAGCTTTCAGGACACGAAAGCTATGGTGCCCCAGTCTTGCCACCACTCTTTCCCTCAGGAATTCCACTGCGTTCACCCACCGGGCAGACTCCACTGCCCACCAAGCAGGCCAGGCCAGGCCAGGGAGGGAGGCCGAGGAGGCCGCGGTCCAGCTCCGTGGGACTGGGGACAGACCAGGAAACCACAAGCAGAAGCACCCAGAGCTGAGCCATGCAAACAGCATGCAAAGAGCTACGGAATCCGAGGCTGCTCAGCTGCATGCCCGGCAGTCAGCTCACGGGGCCCCGGGAGGCACATCCCCCGGCTCCCCGGCCGGGGAGGAACCAAGCGTCCAGGGAAACGTAGCCCCTGTGAGCTGTCCGGCATCACATCACCGCCGTGACGTCCTGGGACGGTGCCGCGGTCTGTGTGCATTTATTCTTTCATGTAATTCATGACCACCTATGTGTGGCAGGCGGTACGGACACAGCACTGAGGGACACAGGCCATCTCCTTGGTAGGAGACAGACATTAGCAAACAATTTAACAGCCCTGAGCAGTTTGGCTCAGTGGATAGAGCCCACGGACTGAAGGGTCCCGGGTTCGATTCTGGTCAAGGGCACATGCCTGGGTTGTGGGCTTGAACCTCAGTAGGGGGCGTGCAGGAGGCAGCCAATCAATGATTCTCTCTCATCATTGATGTTTCTCTCTCTCCCTCTCCTTTCCTCTCTGAAATCAATGAAAACCTATTTTTAAAAAAAGAAAGATGAAGGAGGAAATCCGGAGAAAAGTTTGGGGGGAGGCAGATGTTCCGGAAAGAGGAGCCAGCATGTGCCAAGGTCTGGGCCCGCCACGGACTGAGAGCCCAGAGCACAGACCAGCCTTCCAGGTCCCACACCTTCCCGCTGCCGAGGTGGCGGGCAGAGTTCCACAAACCGCTCACCAGGTACCCAGGACGGGGACCTCGGGGGCTTCTGTGAGTGGCACCTCCAGGCCTGCAGATGCCTGTGGGCCCTCCCGGGGAGACTTTCACAGTCACCTTCGGGCCTTTGTCTGCTGACCCTCACGCTAGTCCAGGCAGGGAGTCCACAGCCCTGAACCAGGAGGCAGTTTGCAAGCTGCTGGGCCCCTCCTTCACCTGGATGGGCAAACCTCCATGTGCCAGTGTGTGTGCATCGGGAGTGGGGGGGTGGGAGAG